AGTGGTTAAGGCATTGATGGTGAACCTTTTCAGCAACATGTGCTGAAAAGGGAGCACTTCGCACAAACGCTCATCTGGGCCGCGACCAAGAAGAAGAGCTGCCAAGGGGACAAGTGTGAGCTGGAAAATGAACTTTTGGTTTCTGACATGCACATGCATGCCAAAAAGTCTTCCAGTTACTGCCATGCATGCACATGCACCAATAAGCTGGCCGGTGTGCATGTTCATGGCAGAAACTGGAAGATCAGCTCTTCCGGTTTCCGGCACTGTTGCACCCAGAAAGGCCAGCTAATCATCACATGCTCATGTGCACCAGAAACTTGGAAGAGGAATGGGCAACACCACACATGCCAAGTGATATGGCTCCATGTGCCACTTCGGGCAGGCATGCCTTAGGTTTGCCATCACGGGGTTAAGGCATCAGGCTAGAAGCTGGGAGTCCATGAGTTCTAGTCTTGCCTTAGCCAGACTCTTTCTCTGAGCCCTAGAAAGGAAGCCATTAAAAATTATGTCCGGAAAAAAACTTGCCAAGAAAACTGTAGGGACTTACCCAGGCAGTCTATGAGAATCAACATGATTGAACGGAAGGAGAAATAAAAAGCTATGTATCAATAGGTTTGTAATGGACATACTTCCATTTATGAATTTATTAGGAAGAAAATATAACCAACCGAGATATAAAGTTATGTCTGCCAGTTTTGGTCTCTAACAATTCAGGTACAGTTGAAAAAGCACCTCTATAAAACCAGAAAAATTGTAGTCAGTGTTGGCTAGAGGGACTGATGATCTGGTTTTATGTATCTCCCTTGTAATTTTGTCAGCCTTACAAGGCAATCCAGACAACAAATATACCAAGATATATTAGCTCTATTTCATTATGAGGTTACATTAACAGTATCTTGCATGTCTAAAAGTATATTTCTTCCCCATCACCTTTACAGAACAGAAACTAGGGAGGGTCTTTTCCTTCTGAGAGCCAAGCTGCTGCTTATTCATCCATTGCCCTGGCTGTAGCTCTTCCCTTTATCTCCCAAGATCACTGCCACCCACCATTACAAATATTTAAGATGCCACAACTCAGTTATGCTGTTCCTTTTGCTTTAACAAATGATTATCCTGCATGTTTGCCGGAGGGGGAAAGAGCAGGCAAATAATGACATGCAGGATGTATTGCAAAATCCATCTCTTACGGTAAAAACACATGTGGTGGTACGTATGGTAAGTATCAGAATGACTCTCAGATTTGGAAGACACGTTTAACCAGAATATCATGCTTTTGAGGGGAAATGGTCTATTTTTATAAAATTGGAGATCAGCATTTTCTGGATTGATACTGTATTAAGCTTCT